GAAATTATATTATAATTATAGTAGAAATATATAAACTCTTTCCTAATAGCTAAATAGAAAATAAATATAATAAGTTAATAGAAATAGTTCTAAAAATATATATAGAAACTATTTAAATAATATAAAAACTTAAAGAATTAATTATACTATTACTTCTAGATATAAGTAGTATATTTAATATAGTATTATATAGAAAACTACTTAAGATAACTAGAGTAAAGAGATACTTTAAGAATATTTATAAATAGATTAAGATATTTCTAAAGAGAAGAATAGTATAGTTCTAATTTAATAGTAAGATAATAGTAATAATATTAATCTAAGTAGATATACTATAGAGATCCCTACTATTACTAATTCTCTTTATACTATATATAAATACTTTATATAAAACTCTTAAAGAAGTTTCTAATATACTAGTAGTAGAGTTTACTAATAATATAAATATATTAAGCTTTAGATCTAATATAGAGATAATAAAAAAAGAACTCCTTAGAATATAGAAGAAATATAAAAAATAATTAAAAACTATTAGATTAATCTTTAATTTAATAAAAAGTAAGTTTATATACTTTATAAAGAAAAAGAAAAAGATAAAGAACTAGATATAAACTAAAGATATATAGATTAAACTATATAAAGTAATTAAATTCCTTAGTATATAGCTAAATAGAAAACTCTAATAGAAAATATATATAATAAAGCTCTAGAAAAAACTTAAAAAATAGATATTAATTCTAATTAGAATTATATTATCTATATATAGATATTTATATAGATAAGTAAGAGTAGTTTATAAAGTTATTATAAGATTTATAATAATATATAGAGTATCTATTTTCTATAAACTTATAGAGAAAGAGAATAAACTATAGGAATCTATATAGATCTTAGCTAGATAATAGTTAAAATACCTCTAGATTATAACTAGAGTATATAGAGCTATACTACTAAGAATAATTAAAATAGAAATACTAATACTACTCTTAGATCTTTATATAAATAAAAGAATAGTAGAAATAGAAAAAAGATTTAAAACTAGAAAGATTATAAGTATAAGCTAAACTATAATTAGTATAATAATTAAATTAATAATAAATTAGTAGAGATAAAGATTTTAAAAAATAAAGCTATTAAGAGTAAACTAGTACTAGAGATAAGAAAAAAACTTTAATCTAAAAGCTAAATAGAGAGCTAAATAGAAAACTAAAGTAAATATAATATAGAGAAGATCTAAATAAATATAAGTAGTAGATATAATAATTAGATTTAATAAAAAGATATTTAAAAAATATAATCTCCTATAAAAATATAAAAGCTTCTTTCTAATATAAATAAAAATAAAAAGAATAAGCTTAATCTTTTTTCTCTTTATAAGAGAAGTTTCTAAGATAAATATATTTATATATTAATATAGAGAAAGAAAGAAGAATATATATTATATTATCTTATAGTATTTTAAATTTAATATCTAATAAGCTAAGCTAAATACTAAAAGACTAATATAGATCTAATATAATCTTAATATTATAATAGATTAAAAATAAAATATATAGAAAATTATAAAATAGGTTTTAAATCTTAGAATATTAGAATAATATAAACTTACTAAGAAGCTAGATATATTAGAAGAAATATATAAAGATTCTAAATAGGATCTAATCTATATATAAATAGAAAATATATTAGATAATATCTAGATCTAGCTAATATAAATAATAATAGAACTATTATATATAATTAAATAAGTATAAAAGAGAATAAAAGTAGTAAAGAAGAATAAAATATTAGTATTAAATATATAAACTAAAGACTCTAAGCTATAGAACTAATTAGAACCTAGAGTAAACCTAGAGTAGAAATTAATCTAAAGCTCTTTAGATATATTAGTATTATAGCTAGTAGTAGCTCTATTAAAAATATACTTTTTAAACCTATTAAAATTACTACTTTTAATCTTACTTTTACTAAATATTCTATTAAAAGGAGATATCTCTATAAGAGTATTAAGAATAAACTAAACTAATTCTAATATAGCTATAGTTATAAAAATTAGAAGTTTATATAAGAGCTAGTTCTAATTAAGAATATTTTAATTAAATATATCTAACTAAATACTAAAAGTAATTATTTATTAGTAATTCTTCTTACTCTTAATCTCTAAGATAGTAATAGTAATCTTATTATTATATAGAGCTTAGAATAAAACTAGAGTAGAACTAATATAACTACTAAGAATAGTAGTACTAGTATAATTCTAAGTACTACTAGAGATAAGAATATAAATAGACTTATTAGACTAATAAGCTATAGTCTTTAAAATAAGTATATTTTACTAAGCTTATTATAATCTGGATTAGAATAAAAGCTAATATAAAAGAGTACTAAATAGGAATATAAGATATATATTAAATTCCTTAGTACTAGAAGTAATATTAATAGTATAGATCTATAAGTAAATTATATACTTAGTAGAGAGATAATTAATAGAATACTATATAGATTAAAATTAGAAGAAACTAGAACTAGATATAAACTTATCTTTAAATAGAGAGTCTTAAGATTATAATACTTATAATAGAACTTAAACTAAAAACTTACTATAGAGTTAGTATAAAATTAATCTAAAAGTAGATAGAAAACTTATTAGACTAAAGAGTATAGTAAATAGTATATCTATTAGTAGCTATACTACTAATATACTATTAGTAATTAGTTTTAGAATAATAAGAACTAGAAAAAACTAGAGATTAGATTAGAGATAAGATAGAAAAGAAGAAAATAAACTAGATCTATATAGTAGTAGAAAGTAGAAAGTAAAATAGAATAAAAAAAGTATAAAAATAATATAAAGTAGGATCTACTCTAAATCTTATTTATATTAAAGTTAATATAGAGAAAGAAAAGAATTTATCTAATTATCTAGTTATATAAAAAAGAAAGAGAAAAAAAAAGAAAAAGAAATTAGGGGAAAAAGAGATATTTATAAATATAGAAAAGAGTATAAATAATCTAAATAATCTAAGAATCTATAAGGAAAATATACTAAATACTAAAAAGTTATATAAGTAATAATAAATATATAAAGAATCTATATTATAATTAATCTAAATTAGTATAATAATTATATCTTCTTAATCTATAATTAAAAAAGTTAAATAGAGAAAAATATAAAGCTAAGGAATTAAGCTAGAGCTATACTAACTATATATAGAGAATAGATTAGATAAACTAAAAAATAAAAATAATAAAGAAATTCTATTTAGATAATTTCTAAAAAGAAAATTAAAACTAGAAAGTAAAAAATAAAATTAACTAATTAGATAATAGGAAAAATACCTTCTAAATTAATTATTTAAAACTAACTATAAAAAGTTAATTCTAAGATAGAGTTAAATTATATTCTATATAAAAATAAGTTAAAAACTACTCTATCTATACTAACTAGTAGATAAGAGCTAAGATAGAAATATAGTAGATAAATAAAGAAAGATAGGAAACTAGGAGCTATATTAGTATCTAGATAAAGCTATAGAGAAAATAAATAGAATAAGATTTTTATTCTATATATAAGGTTTTCTCTTATTAGAGATTAGATAGAGGAACTAGAGACTAGCTAGATCTAGTATCTAGGGTAAATAATAATAGTATATAATATATTAAAATTATAAATTATATATTAGATTATAATAAATCTATATAAAAGAATAACTATTTTTAAGATATAGTATTTATTTAAATTAATTTTAATTCTCTATAAGTATTTATAATAGCTATAAGTATTATAAATAATAAGCTATATAATAAAATAATAAACTAAATAGATATAACTATTAGATTTATATTATTAAAAATAGCTTTATTATTATAAATAGATTTTTAATTAATTAAAAAGATATATTATAAATATAGTTAGTAAATAGCTATATTAGATTATTTTAAATAATAATTATTATTACTTTAAGAGTTTTATTAGAAATATTAACTAGATTCTAAAAAATTAAAATATTTATATTAAATATTATAATTATTTAAAATTATACTAATTATCTAGTAATTAATTAATTAAATAATTAATTAATTAAATAATTAATTAATAGTATAATTTAATTAATTAATTAATTAAGATAAATTTTAAAGTTCTAATAGAAATAAAAGATAGTTATTATTATTAGATAATAAGTTTTCCTTCTTAAGAGCTATAACTATAGCTAGACTATTTATATATCTAGTTATATAAATAGCTTCTATTATTAGAGTTTTTAAGATATTAATATCTATATTTAGATTAAAAATATTTAATTTTAATTTTATTTTATAATATTAAAGATTTAAATATAAACTATTAATTATATTCTTTAAAAAATTATATAATCTAGTTATATATTATTTAATCTTAGAATATATTCTTATTTATAATAAAACTAATAAAAAAAAATTAATTATAAAGTATATATAATCTATATAATTTATTATAAAAGCTTTTATTTATAATATATAATTAAAAAAAAAACTAAAAAAATATATATATATATATATATAAAATTTATTAAAAAGAAATTAAATAATAAATATTAAAACTATTTATTCTATTCAGCTTAGATTAAAAAGTATAATCCTCTATCTCTAGAGATTATTCTCTTTCTAATATCCCCTATCTGAGCATAATAATAACAGAGGCCCTGGGGTCAGGCACCAGACGGAAACCCGTGGATGGTGGCGGCTGCCTGGGGAAGCCGATGACTCAGCTACCGCGGACCAACGAGCGGTTGAGCGCAAACGGCCAAATTCCCTCTCCAATTGACAGTAGGCTGCCCCTCCCCCTCCTTGCATCATCTCCCACAATCCCACCCCACTGGTACTGCCCGTCCCCGATATCGTCAGCAGCCTCTTCCCACTATAACTTGCTGCACACGACGGTTTACACTCCTTTGACAACGCAAGCGCATCACCCCCCTCCCGGCTCCCATCCTCGTCTCCCACCTCGTCGCTCATCCGCTATGGGCTCCTCTGCCTCCATTTCGCCCAGTCCCCCCGCGCAGTCGACGACCACTCGGACAAGCCCGCTGGAGACTGTCAGGGACTACTCATTTCCAACCCATTACCTGCGGCGCCATCTGACGCATGCGAAAACCCCTCTGGTTCTGGTAGCCTGTGGAAGTTTCTCCCCCATCACGACGCTACACCTGCAGCTCTTTGAGTTGAGCGCCCGTTATGTCGAGAGCACAGATTTCGAAATTGTTGGCAAGTACATTAGCCCATGCAGTGACGGTTACGGCAAAAGCTCCCTTGTCCCTGCCCAGCATCGCATCAACATGTAGGTCCAGCCAAGAATACGTTGCAAACCTCATGTGGAGAGGAGTCTTTGGCCAACTGTGCTGACAATATGGGGCTATTTCAAGGTGCACCTTGGCGATTGAAGAGAGACAGAGCGATGTCATGATCGACGAGTGGGAGGCACTGCGAACCGACGACTCAGGGCGGCCGATGTATACACCCACTGCTGACGTTTTGAAGAGGCTTGACGAGCAAATAAATGACGTTATCGGGGGCATCAAGACACCCGATGGGAAGACTGTGAGAGCCAGGGTCATGTTGCTCATGGGTGCTGACCTGGCTTTGACAATGGGTAATCCCAAGTCGTGGTCCTCTGCTGACCTCGATGTGCTATTGGGATTCTACGGCGGCTTTGTCGTCGAGCGCCCCAAGCAGTGTGACATCAAGGATGCTTTGGCGCCTCTGGAAAAATACAAACACAACGTCTGGGTTGTCCCATCTTTCGAGAACGATGTTTCGTCTACCAAGGTCCGGGAGCAAATCCAGAACGGGGAAAACGCCATGGACCTCCCTAAATCAGTATTTGATTATATCAAAACCCAAGGTCTGTATCAGATTGTCCGTCCCACGGAAGACGAGAGCGGGGAGACAGATAAGCAGCTGGCAAATTCCTCGGCTACGTCAAATAGGTGACAGGACCTGCAAAGCCCAATATTTTATGGCCAACAAAAACATCCAGCCGGCTTCAGTTGGATCCGATGAAGAACCCTGTTCATTTGACGATTTGCACAGCCTTCGGATAGGATCATTTTTTTCTTCTGCAACTATTAGAGCGTGATGGGAGGATTGGCGACATGTTCTTGACAGTGGCTTCCACAGGGTATCAAGGTTTGGCATAATTGGACAGCGGGTACAATATTATCCCGGCGCATCATGAATAGACACATGTATGTTAATAGAGTCTGTATATCTTGGGAATTTTGTACACATGCCGAGAAAGTTCCGCGAGGAACTCGGTCACGAGTTATGCTGGGTAAGGCTTGTTGGCGCTTTTGCAATAAGCGGGAAGAACATTTCGATGACCTGGTAGTTGAGCTGAACTATAAACTGGCCTAAGTTTACATTCGCCCTTGCTATGAAGGAAATAAACTTCTCAGTCGCATCGGATCCCTGAAAACTTGCTTTTCGACGAATATGGACCTGAATTTGCTGGAACCTTTCATTCTACTTGCCCACCGTTTAGAGAAATACCGGGAACAGGTATATATAGACTCGAGTTATAAGAAGAGGATACTGTTTGCAACTCGACGTCTCCAAAGACCCTGATGTATTTTATAATATACTCTATTATAGATTTCAGTTCTTTTTTATAATTAAACAGGTAAAACAACTAACAAGCCTAGAGGTTTCACTTTTCATGGTTAAGCCTTTGATTAGAAGAAGGGTATAGTTACCCTGTTTAGTAGGGACGGGCCCGCTATCTTGGGTTTTTCCCCCCTCGAAAAGGATGTAATGACTGATTTCCTGGAAATGGGTGGTTCTGCAGCAGCCTTATCACAGATATTGCAATATTTATGACACGCGGAATACACCTCATCTCATCCGTCGTGGGTTTGGACAGGCAAGTTTTATGGCTAGGTAGTGCTCTACTTCGGTCATGCAAGAACAGACCCAGGACATAGGATGATTCATCGCACATTGATCAGCTATGTAAAATATGTACCGGTTCGAGGTGATATTGATGATGATAATAAAAAAATGTGAATATGGATTGATATCAAGGCACATTCGCGCTCTCTGATGATCTATTAATCAATTGTGCGTATGTCCTGCAATGGGTGCCTGGCTTTCTTTAAGTACCGTACGGAGACAAGGGGTGACATTGAAATTGAGACGCTCAAACATGAACCTGTATATTTTTGAGTCTACGACCTGTATTATTAGTATGTACTCAAGAGATGATCGATGGTATATTCTTCCTCTATATTTTTTACTACCATATTTCCTTCTTCTTTTTAACCACCCTTCCACCAGATGTCTCATTTCTCCGGTCACTGACTTGGCAGAGCACCCTGGCCCCGGGCTCGAGCTGAGCCCGCCTCTTGGATGAAGCCTTGGCAGGACAATGGGCCTGGAATCATATTGGGCCGAGGGCGGTGCTTGGCTGCATAACTTCGCCGCGCACGTTCACTCGAATACGGGCGCGCAAATACGCCTAATTTAAGGGCTGACGGTTATTGCTGTCCATTCCGTTTGATCGTCCCACCCCGTCCCGTCTGCAGACCAGCTTCATCGCATGGCGGTTTTCCATCTTCTAAGCGCGTTGCAGCCGGTGCGGTTCGCTGCGGCCTCATTTTCTGCTCTTCGCTCTCTATCTATCTAGTTCACCTTGGTCCTATCTTTTCTTTCCCTAGTCGTTCCTTAGCCGTAGTGTCACCCGACGCTGAGCAATTCGTGAAAACATCCGTAATCCGGGAAGAATGATCTTCCCACGACTGGCCGCAGTCGCCCTGCTGGCGGCTGCTGCCCCTGCTACTGCGCGAGATGTGCCAGACAATATTGAACAGTTCTACAAAAACATCACGTCACAGAACAAATGCAGCGATATTCTCGCATCCGGCTTTTACAGCAAGGATGGAGACAAGCCTAGTACGATACTTTACTCTCTCCTTCTGCCCAACATGCTGACTCTCCAGCGTCCGTTTACTGTGGTGATCATCTCCGGGATTACGGTGTCATCTACCTCCGAGGAGAGGGAAAGAGCCTGGTGAATATGGACATTGACTGCGACGGTGCTCAGAAAGGAAGCCCAGCAGACGATGGACGCTGTCGCGCATCAGACGATACACTGTCTATCTCCTCTTTCCAGGACACCATTGGCTCATATGGTACTGGGATCAAGGACATTGATGCTTATGTGCACCCTTACGTCGTCTTTGGGAACACTGGGAGTAAGAAAGACTGGGCTACATTCAATCCTACCCAACACGGCATTGAGCCCCTCAGCTTAATGGCCGTTGTATGTGGCGGCAAATTGGTCAGCATTGCTCCAACCTCATGTCTCCGTTGGTCTCTCTCTAATCAATGTCGAGCAGGTATATGGTATCTGGGCTGATGAGAATGGGGATGATGGTGACAAGCCTATGGTCGGTGAGGCATCCATCTCTTTAGCTACAGCCTGCTATGGCAAAGATAAGGTGGACGGCAACACTGCCCATGATGAAGACGACGTGCTGTATATTGCTTTCCTGGGCAAAGATGCTATTCCTGGTGCTACGGGTGCTAATTGGAATGCGACGAGCTACGACGAGTTCCAGAGCAGCGTCCGCGAATTGGGGGACAAGTTGATCGAGCGCGTTGGGTCGTCGGGGGCCAACTGGTCAGCGGGTGGCGATGGGGGCGATGATTCATCTGCGTGGGTTGCAGGCTCACCGAGCCTGGCCGCCTCCGTGGCAGCAAGCCTTCTGACATGTAGCAGTCTTGTGTTTATTTGAATGCATCTGTCCTTCGGCTCTGCTGGCTGGTGCTTGTAGTGATTTCTGGCCGTTGATCGTCGATCTCTGACATGCTGCTGCTCACAATGATTCTCTGGTCACAATGTGTCAGCCTATGCCAAAACGTTTTACGTATGAAATTGAGTCGTGCTGAAATGAACCTTTGGGCAAAAACGTGTCTAGCCAGTTTCACTAGCGCTTGAGCTGATTTGGAACGCCAAGGACGCCCTCAACGGAATTTTGGCAGCCGCTGTGTTCTGCGTAATGTCTTGGTCGTACATTTGTTCGATGAAGAGGGCGGCGTAGCATCACCGCGCTGTGGGTGACGGCAAATTTTGGGGAAACAACTGGATATGCTTACCCTGATTCACGCCAGGAACCCACGGTGCTGTGTGGTGCTCCCCAGAGATCGACGTCAGCCGTTAGTACATTAGGTCCATCGTAGCCGCAGTTCGATGTGGGGGAGTCACGTGGACGGCATTTCTCCTCCTCACGGTGGAGAGAAGTTAATTCTCGAGGTGGGCAATCGGAGTCGTGCCGTCCGGCGATTATTTCCGACTTGCTCCTCTGCTCTGGGTGCGCGTGTCAGCCCATCTTGGATCGAGACTTCTCATCTGTTCCAACCCCCTCATGACAGCGCGTTGTGGTGCTCCTGGACCATACTGATCTCCTCTGCCGCAGAGCCCAACATGCCTGAGAGACATGGCTGACCTCAAGGGCACAAGGAGCCGTGACGGCTGCTATAATTGTCGACGCCGCAAGCGCCGTTGTGATAAGCAGAAACCAATCTGTATGAGTTGTCGTAAGAACGGCGGCTCTTGTGTCTTCCCCTCAGTTACCACTTCGCTCAAGTTCGTCGTGTCTGTGGCACCTACGGAACATCTCATCCCCTTTGAAGAATCTATCCCCACCTCCGCTTTCTTCCATACCAGCGCAGAGGATGTAGCTACTTTGTCCCTTGAGTCTGATCCGGGCACACCCGACAGCGGCAGTGATGGCCATGGGGACTGTCAAGATGATACAACCGCCAAGCTGCTCGTTTCCCCAATCAAGCTGCCCGCCCAACTTACCCTCTCGAAGCCCATCTCGTCTGGTGGCATTCACTGTAACAATCCTGTCGAGTTATCATTGATCCAGTACTGTGAGTTTCGACGTATCATAATGACCCATTTACCCCACGGCGACTAACTCTCTCACAGATGTAGAGGTCATTGGGGCTTCCAAGGTGTTCTCTCAAACGGATCAAAATCTCTTCCTTACGTCTGTCATGCCACGTATTTTGAATTCCCAAGGACCCCTCCAGTCCACCGTCCTGGCCATGAGCGCAGGCGAGTGGCGAGACAAGCCCGTCGCTCATGGACGGGCTGGGTTTGAACTCTCTGCATACTACAAGTCTCGCGCCCTGGGCGAGCTCCAGCGCAGCCTCTGGGAGAACAAGTGCGCCGAGGAGAACTTGTTGACTTGCGTCTTGCTTGCGTCGCTCGACATCAGTCACGGCTCACGAGCAACATGGCTCAGGCACCTCCATGGGGCCTTCGCCTTGCTTGAGAAGTTCTCGCCAACGATTGATCCAGAGGTGTCCACCTTTGCGCTCAAATACTTTCGGTTCCGGTACACACTGCTGCAGACTACACACCCCAGGATCATCCCGGCGTGCTACAGTCTCACAGATTCGGCGGCCAATGAGATGCATGAGATGACGCACTGGTTTATGGACGATCTGGGAGCGCCCAGTAGCAACAATGCTATTGATGAGCACACTGGATGCTCCTCTGTCATTGCCGACATCATCGCTCAGATATCTACACTTGCATTGCAGTCAAACGCCAACTCGATTTCGCGAGAGAAGATCCAGAATGTCGCCCATCATCTCGAACACCGGCTGTCTGTGATCGGCTCCACGCCGCCTGCTACTGACGACATCTACCTCGCCAATAGCGCTGAGTCATTCCGTTACGCAGCCCACATCTATCTCCTCCTTGCGTGCTTCGACATGCCCATCAAACATGCGTCTGTAATTGACCTTCACCACATATTGATGGACTATCTCACTCTGATCATTGTAAAGGACCAGAAGAGGCGTCTGTTCCCCATGTGGCCACTCTTCATTGCGGGATGCACCTGCTCCTGCGATGAGCAGCGTAAGGCCGTCATCGACCTCTTCACAATCTTGGAGGATCAATGGCCTGTGAGTAACGTCTCAGCCGTCTGGTCGGTGCTAAGGACTATCTGGCAGGCGAGAGACTTGTCCGTCGCCTGCCAGCCGACAACTAAACGCCTGGACTGGCAAGACATTATCCACCGCTTTGGATGGAAGTTGTCACTCACTTAAATCCCAACCTTCACCAACAAAAGTCGAATTGATTCCCTTGTCAGCCATCATGTACCAACCGGTAAATACGCCAGGGAGCTATATCAGACCTCTTTCTGGTCTCGTCCTCTGGCTATGGTTTTCTTCTTCATCTGTCTCGCAACTTGTAACTATCTCGTCATCAACCCGCGATAAAAATACGCTCCTTGGCCCTTCGCAACAAGGCCAAGCGAGGTCCCGTTTGATCTGCCCAACACAGACAAAATTACATATAACAAAGGGTGGTTCGGATCTTTCACCCTGATTGCTTGATTTCGTTCGTTATGTTTCTCAATGGGGTGCAGGCCAAAGCATCATAGCAGTCGCCCCTCCTTTGTGTTCAGTTGGCTTTGGTTAGTGAGTGAATCCATTCCCCCCCAGGGGCTCCGTAGGCCGGTGGTTGCTGGATTGGGTTTTGGATTACGTGCTTAACGTTGTTGTATTGTGTTCTTGTGAAACTAAGACGGGTTTATTTGTGTATGGAATCTTGGTGATTGGGAATAGTGCTATGAATGAATGAATAAAGTTTTGTCAAAAGCGAACAGCATCAAATCTCACGAATCGTTATTGAATTTGAGTACGAAGGACAGTTGCCGGACAAGAACTATTTATGCTGTGGTAGGGGTTGAAGATAAGGAGCGGTTGGGAAGCAGAAAAATAAGTACGAGATATCTCCCAATGAAATTCGTGGTATCATTTGCCATTTGCTAACTGACTAATCTGAGGGGCGGGCATCCATATAGACTGGGTATATACAGCAGCATATGCACACATATATACATATATACACACATATATAAAGAAAGAAACCCCTCGTCCTCCATTTCGCTGTCTGCCTTTCGTTCCGGGTCCGCTGATTCTTCCCTCTATTGGGGGGTATCAATATGAGGAAGAGCTGAAAATAACAAGAAAAAA